TGTTGTACTTCCGGGTCATATCTGCAGGTCGAAGGTTATCTCGCAACATACACGCGATTTTCTAGATAGAGGAGCAATTTTCATATAGCGGCGCGATTTTCAAGTAGCCGACCGAATTTTTCAAGTAGCGGAGTGATTTTCATGTAGCGGAGCAGTTTTCAAGTAGCCGAGCGATTTTCAAGTACTAGTAGCCGACCGATTTTTTTCAAGTAGCGGAGCGATTTTCATGTAAGGGCGCGATTTTCATGTAGCGGAGCAGTTTTCAAATAGCCGACTGACGTTCATGTAGCGGACCAATTGTATATATGGGCCACCGTACTAATGAGTGTTGTTAATCACTTGCATAGCCTATGACGCATCCTGTTTCAGCGGTCCAACATCACGTGACTTTGATTGACGGTAGTTAATTATTCAAGATTAGTGGCGCCTCCCTTTTTCCGGTTCGTGTTTTTGACTTTCATCCACCGAAATCTCAGCTTGTACACTATTTATTGTCATAAATACTACACACGGTCACTGCTGTGATATTCATAGTAACATACATCCACTTTGGCACGACATAATCCAGCTTGGCTGGAGCTATTTACTACAGCATGACAAGCAAGGAAATAATCCCTACCGGGTATTGTTTAGGAGTGTATTTATAGTATACCTGGGCCTTTAAGTCAGTGGTTGCTGGAAGCTGCAACAAATATAATTTGTAGTGTGTCATTGCTTAGTTCTCCCAAAGGAATTTACCATAAGAGTACTTTTTAAACTCTTTAAACAATAGAGCGAATTTAGCGTAACAATGAATTTTTCGAACATTCATCAAGGGTTTTTCTAGAAAAAGGGGGAGCATATACAGGCGAGGGAGCAGAGCGAGAGTAGTTAGCACAGAAACAAAATGGTGGAACGACCTGGAAATGCCATATTGGAAGGTTTCTGAGTTTTAACAGTGTATCTATCGTAATTTTAGTGTATTTGGTATCCAGACACATTGTCAGCTAGTGTTGCTTGGAAGTTTTTACGGAGAAAAATATATTTGAGAAAGGTTTCATGTTGTATGGCAACGCAGAAGTGTGTGGCTCAAGAAATATATTTATGACTTAAAAGTTCAATCTGAGATTCGATGAGAGGGCGCCAGCTGAGAGTATCAGAGCGCTGCGCCTCTGTTTCCTGGTTTAGAAAAAAACTCTGTTCATTGTGTATATAAATGACCCAACTATTGTTGTTCATAGATTACGTCCATCATGACACTTGCATGACAGCTGTTCTGACTGTCCTATAAATTATTCACAGCATTATGGTGGCATCTGAAGTTTTTTTGTGTGTTTTTTTGTAAGTATTTGGCTTTCATGAATTTTGTTGTAGAAGTCAGTTACTTGTCTCATCAGAGAGCCACAGCTATCTGTTCACTGTTATCATCCACCTAAGCAAATATGACTTCACAAACAGATATTGAGAACTGCAAGCTATCTTATCATTGATCACCATGAATAATGTAACTGCATGGTGTTTTCATTTTTTAATATCTTTAAAATGCTTGAGTATGCATAATTTCCTACGGTAACATAAAATTGCTACATTGAAAGACACACAGACCATCTCAATATAAATGTTTGGGTAGTTGTAGTTATACAGGAGTCCTTCCAATATCAAATTTGACAACTGGTTTGAAAAATGCTTTATTTGAAATGAATATTTTTTGTGTTTATCAAAAAACAATGTTATCTTTCTAGACACAAACAAACTCCAAACGTAAGTGACTTGTATTCTTGAAAACCAAGTCCCATTTCACTTGCATTTCCAGGCAAACAAATGTTGTGTCCAAACTTCTATAAAATTTGTATAGGAATATGTATTCAGTCCAGTGGCATAATTGAAAAACTAACGTAGTCATGTTATAAGATCTAGTAATTCTTGACTACACAAACATGTACTACCATTTTACAAGTGCATTTTTACATGTACATATGTCTTAATTGTTATAAACATGTTAACACGAGAGATACCATGATAACATGAGGTAATAGCAGATGTTGTTTCTACCACCAGGATCTGTTTAATGGCCTTCTTACAGAAAAGCTAGAGGTAGCAGTGCCTGTTCTTCTTTGGTTAGAGTATCAGGTGATCAGAATGCGACATTTAAAACGACAGCTGCTCATCACCTGTTTCTTCTGTTGTATGTCGCTTTCCTGTTACCTGTTTTTCGTGGACAACAAACATATTGGGCACAGACTACCTCCAGATGAATTGCCTTTAAGAGCACTCAAAATAACAGGTAATAGTAGGATCACTCTTAACTTTTTCTTAGTTCTTTTTGTTCACCTTTATTCACTGCTTATTTAGATGTGTGTGTATATCAGTGACATGTGCATAATGTGACACTCTTTACTTTCAGTGTTGTACAATAGAGTTCTCTGGCAATGAATGACATCTTCCTCAGATGTCTACTTGCCATTATTACATGTAGTTCTTGTTCAGACCTTTCTGTGTGTATGCGTCCGTGTGTGCGTGTGTTTATGCATTTCCAATCATATCTAAGACATGCCTGAACTGATTACATTCAAACTTCACACATACATAATACATAATATTATACATATGCACATCAATTTGTTTCACAATATGATTCAAGATGGTCGAATGGCGCCCATTTTTGTGCTGAAAAATAATCAAAATCAAGCATTCTGGAACCGGATCTTGGCTGTTTACAGATGGATTTTGTTCAAACATGGTTCATACATTTGACATTATTAAACCTTGATGCACATCATTTTGTTTTTCAGATAAAATACAAATGGCTGACTGTTGGCCATTTTGTTTTAATGAATGCGATTGACTGATTATTTTCCAAATTTATATATTAATTGCATGTATATGTACACACCATGTCATACTTGTAGATATACATGTACAGATGTGTTGCTTTGACCATGCAATTCAAAATGGCCGACTGGTAGCCTTAATCTTTTAATTAATGCTGTTCTAGAGCAATATCTCTCAAAATGGACAAGTACCATACTCCTTTTGACGATCAGATACAAGATGACTGAAATCATAATCAAGCATCAGCTTCTGGATCCATATCGTTGACATGTTTATGTTCCAACTATATTATATTAAAATTTGATAACTAACTGGGACTGTGTCATGCATGGCAAATCAAGCATTTCTGTCATTGGGCCATTCCAGTTTATATCTGCACCCCCCCTGTTGATGAGTTTGTGTGTTTAGTTCATACAGGCTATAATTTCCATGCGTGTATAAGTCATACAAAGTTGTATTTCCAAATCACCATTCACCATACAGTAATGGAAATCCAAAACTATAGTTCCTACTTATGGTGTTGATGAGTTCCTTTGTGCCACCATACAGAGTAGGATTTCCAAATATAACTCTCATCATATGCCAATTTACCAAGTTCAAAATTTTATATTTGATAATGGAAATCCAAACTAGTCCTGATTCACGGTGTTGATGAGCTCATTCGTGCCACCATACAGAGCAGATTTCCAATATAAC